CAACGTCTTCAAATCAGTCCAAATGAATGTCCACGCCAACTTAATGCAAGTTTTATGAAATGATAAGACAATCTTGTTCATAGCCACACCACTCTCTTTTGAACGGCCGTGTTCCTGTTCTGGCCTAATTATTCCGGCGAGTCCACACCAAAGGGAAGCACTGGACTCAAGTTTCGCTTTTATTAGAGCTCATCAGCAGTGCATATCCAATGGCCATGCCGGGATTTGAACCCCAGACATCTGACATGCGAGGTGAGCGTGTAACCACTACTCCACCAACGCACGTTGGAGCATCTGAATTATCACCTCTGAACAGGCGAACGTGTTCACACTTGAGCGATGTGATTGATGTGCCCGACTCATCGAACGACGACCCAGTAATAGTCCTGGTTGTGACGATCGATCGACCCGCCACCCAGGATAAAACAGTCTGAACTCGGAAAACGATAGACCCTCAGTTCTGAACACTCTTTGGGACTTACCTGAAGCCCAGGTCACATGGGTTCAACCACGACATAACATCACATTCTCTAACAGAACATATTTTATAGGTGTCTGGACGAAGCTATAAAATAATATTACAAAATAACCGAAGTTTCGACATCGCTAGGAAGCCTTGAAGCCTGATCAGGTTTACCCTTTATTCAGCTACATGTTAAAAAATTATCCTGATTGGGTCAACAAAGCACGAAGTGGGAGTGCGAGAGCGTAGTGAATTGGATGCCATCGGAGACTTAGGACATAACAAGACAATTCACACCACAGGTTTGGCAACAGAAATACCAAATATATGTGAACTGTCATAGTTTGAGACCAAACAACGGACCACAGAGCCACGGGATTATGCACGCCCAGACAAAATAAAGGCACGTGGAATCGAACCTTGTTGTTGCGTTTGGCAACGACGTTGAACGACCTGGCCAGAATTTACGAGTTACCTGTAACAATCAAACACGGAACGCAACCAAGTTCGATTGCAGATTATTTTGGCTATATGGTATGGAAATTATCCAGACGACTCAGGACAATGCGGCCATTATATAATAAAATACTATATCAATCTACGTTAGAGACGCCGAAACTCCTGGTAATTTTATTTGCCTTTCAATATTTTGCGCGTTGTTGATAGCTCACATCACAAAATGCACCTACAGCATGATAATATCCGGAATAGCCTCGCTTCCCTCTCTGTATGAAATATTGTTTAGTATCTTCCCAAAGCCCATATTTACCAACTGAATGATGGAGCTACCATGGATTTATCTTCTCTCATGTCTGACCTATCCTCAAAACAGGAAACGAGCACTGTTAAAAGTCGTCGGAGACTCTGAATGGTACATATTTGCTATCCTGATAGCTAGTTATTTGAATTAATTGTGTCCCTGAACCTTGTTCAGTCCCATAAACTTTACAGAGAAGCATTTGACACCTAGCAGAATGACTGCTTTCCTTGAATATGAAATTCCTTGTAGCCATCGTCACTTTGAAAATGTAGTTCACTAAAAATCACAGCTCCCACCTAACTCAAGATATGCTCATCCAATGAGTATGAAGACAACGATAATCACCAAGCGAATAAGATCATTACTAACACAGTTATTCTGAATTGGAGTCTATCCAGCTTCAACAACAAGCGTTATGCAAGCAGTTTCAGCCATCCAACCCAGACTCTGCAGCCAAAAGTTTTGATTTCATACTTCCAGCACCCATCTGAGAGCGTTCTTGCGTGGCTTCAACATCCTTACCCATTTCCCAGTCTACAATACAAATCAAGGAGAAAGGGATTGCAACAAAGCGCAGCCTAATCCAGTTAACCTTATACTAACTAGAAGAATGGTTTCAGCCATTGTGACTAGGTTTACACGAGCGATTGAGAGTTTGCATACGAACACGAACCGCATGTTGAAGCCGCTCTGAGAAACATGGACGAAATCGGCAAACAGGGGCAACCCATGCTTGAAACTTCGGCTCAAATTCGATAATCCAGAAACGATGCAGCACTGTGGTGCTTCGCCGTATCAGTAGTTAACCACGCAGTGCATTTATATGTTGGCATTTCTCCACGTGTTGAGGTGTAGCCTTACTCATCATAAAACGGTGGCTCAAGCACGATATACGGCACCTGACAACTTATCCAGATGTTCAGGCATGAACCATGCACACATTCTCACACGCAAACGCACGAGCGCAAGCGGCAAGACTTTCAAACTACCAGTGAGCATTTGACAGTGTGTCGGTCAGTCTTTGAATAACCACACTGATCGTTTTATGATCAGTAACTTGCTTCATTAGAAGGACCAATCTCGGTGACTGAAAAGTCATACAGTACCACCTAAAGTATCCGACTTTTGTTTATATACATTTTTATTGTGAACATCCCTCCGCTACAATGAAATCACTTCAAAGGTGAAGATACTGCTAGGCGCTAAAAAGAGCAGTGTAATGTTGAATGCCTTCCCTGAAGAGAATGCAGGTCTAGTTCAATTGAATTCAGCATGGCGTAGCATTCTAGTAGAATTACTACTATACATTTTCGTTTGAGAAATGTAAGACGCCTCGGCTTCTGCAGCCCCAGTGCTTAGAATATCCCAATTTTTCGCGTTGGGTGAACTAACTAACTTGTTGTCAATCGTAGAAAGTCAATAGATATTAGCAGGTCCCAAGTGGAGTCTAGACACCTTTGTACTTGTACCTTCTGAGCTGAACATAGAACATATTTGAACAACTAGCAGTAATAACCTTCAATAATATACTCTTTGTTGTAACTTTGAGGCCTATACAAACGATGAGAAGTCTAGTCCCAACTCGTAGGTGACATTTTGCCCTTGCATGAATCATTGTCAGTAAAATAACTTATTTCACCCAGTCAGCGCGCACGATAGATAAGGTTGCAACAGCCAAGCACGTAATGTACCACTCAAAATTCCGAAATTTATTGAGTGAGTGTTCACATAGAATTTACATGCCTGATGATTAGCCATTTAATCTGGTAAAAACTCGCCATTATTGAGCGAAATGACCGCTATTTTATACACAAGCTTAGCAGGTACAACAGGGCTATAACTTCATTGAGAGCACCAGTATCAAAACCCCTTCTTTCCGCTGCAAGCGTTCATGTCAGGTGTCACCTGTTTATGGTATTTTTGCCTGTCCTTTGTATGTTCCGGGGATGGAGCAAGCAAAATAGGAAATTGCCGAAGCATGTTCCAGATGTTGTGGGCTTACCGAACCTGAAACGACTAGACGTGTCACTCGACTGCCGAGATAATCGAGTAAATTCCAATCATGAAACCAATAACCGGATATCTGTTAAGTTGTGGACCAACAATAGAAGCCTTGTCAACTCCGTAAAACCACCCTTATTCGGCGGCGTGCCAGCCTAGAATCACGGATTAGCTGGCAAGCAGTTTCACTACACATGGATGCATTAAAAATAACCGTCTATTCCATCCCTACGTGGGACCTTGAGACGAAACACATGCAAGAAACGTAAAATGCAAATTCAGCCAGCAATTTGGCCCAATTTGTGCAAACTACTTTTTATGTATACGCAAATTCATTCAATAGGCATATCTGCACGTATTTGGCAGATTGATCACCGCTACTACCGAAAAACGATACGGAAAACGGATGCATCTGCTGAATATCACTTTTTGAACAAAACTGAAAAACGAAATTTGCGCAGAAGACAAAGAAGATTTATCTAGTACACTGTCGGTTCAGCTTTTGGCGTCACTTGTTTGGCACATTCATCAGGAGTGACTGAGTGTGCGGGTGAATGAGTGAGTGTAATTGAGGGAGTGAGTAAGTGAACACTTCTACTTAAATAGTTGCAGGTGCGCGACGCCACACTGGGTAATACGTGCATTCCATAAGCCGCTTGAGATAAAAACGGGTTACAGTATATCGAACTGTGATATAAAAGCAGAGCTTATTAAACCACAATCGGAAAATGTGTTTTGTAGTCCACTTGTTCAAAAACAGTGCTACCTGTGTAACGGTGATACTACTGATTAGGGAGGCACGCGAGTAGTATGTGTTGTTCGTAGAATTTCGCTTTGCGTCGATTGAAAAGGGGAATTCTGTTGCGGAATTCGTGGGGTCACTTTGTGAGGATTTGACCGACGAATGAGTGGTGGCAATGAATCTCTAGGAAGACTCGTTCGGGAGAAGATCTGTGTCCAGTTTTTGTAACTAAGTTGCAGATTAGAGTTTTGCTTCCCTGTTCAATGGTCTGTAACCGGTTAATTGGCATTTCGCAATAAATAACTCCGCAGCGAAGGCTTTTTTCTTTTCACCTGTAGTGTTTAATATAGCATTTTGCCTAGCTGAAAGGCAGGAAGATAGTGTCAAGTCACTTATAATCTTCAGATATACATTAGTATGTGTGTAGAAACCTCCAAATAGAACCTGCTTTTCTGTCCATCGTAGCCCTGCCTACCGAGACACACGGTACCAAGGTTAAAGGCATGAGGATACCAAGTAACGGGTAACAAAAATGAGCAATGTATACTTATTTGTTGAATTTCAATAGGTTAATCAGCCTAACTCGTCAATTATAGTGAAAAAGAAAAGGGTATTTTTAGGATACGATCGCATTGCATGATTGAAACCAGGTTAACTTTTTTTTAATTTAGCTTGTGTGATATCATATGAAGCTCGGCGAGTGTCGAAGGCTGCAGTAAACCTTTGATCCATTGGACCGAATGTGGCCAGATTCACCGACTCACAAGTTGTGTAGAGCAGTAATCCTTTAATTCACGTAAATAACCAAAGCAAAAATGTTATTTTTCAGGGAGATTTTTGCACTCTCCTCGGGATTTGCACCACCCGTTGAACCTCGTGATATCTTCTAACCAGCAGTGTGTACATGCACCAAGAAAGAATATTTAAGAGATTGCACTGTCTTCTTCACAGGTCAATTTACAATTAAATTTTCGCTCTGCTTTCATAACGTTGAAAATAATTAATTTTTTGTCATTAACCTACATTCTCACCAGAACGATCAACCGAGCGTTACGGCAAAGTGGGGCCAACCGTTGTTCGAGAGTAGTTTATATGCGACCAGCTGCCTTATACTGCTCACAATGGCAGGATTTTTTGAATGCCACAGAGGTCAAACATTTGAAGCGGTTCACCGAGGCAAAGGTCCAGTCCCTTTCAGTGTGAAATTCTCTGTTAAAGGAGAAAAAGTCAATCTGTATCTTCGTCTTGGATTAGCTAGTAAGTACATTTTCCACTGTTCTTAAAAATTCCATTTGAGATTCCAGCATATTTGTGAATAAACCTTGGTACCTCATCTAGATCAAGCACATCTTCTTGCACTGACGTCAGTGGACAACTCCATTACACAGCCTTTTATTTTTGAATACTTTGTGAGCAAATCACTCCGAATCCCAGGAACTGACAGCCCACAAACCAGACATTTATTTGCACATCAGCAAGACACAACAAATAGCTGTTTGGTCATCTCATCACTGATTTACTGTGAAGCTGTTATACATTTCCTTGGTTCTGATTGGACGATGCATCAGTCTACCCATGTCCTAAAATACTGCTTTGAAAACGAAATTTTGTGAAGTTTTTCAAAAGCAAGCCGGTGGTGCATCAGATCTAAGTCGAATTTCATAAATAGACTGTTCTTCTTGAGCCAACCAACTACTGCTCAATCTATCGACTAATCACGAACCTCAGAATCGCGGTGGAGTTCCTCTTGATCAGTTCAGCACTAATGAAACAGTAAGCTGATTGTATCCACCACAAATGACTTCCATCAACTTGACTGCAGGGCACATTGTCTTAAATCTGGCTTTCAGGATTGCACACGGCTAAGTACCCACAAGAGTTCAAATTATTTGTGTCGCCGATGATCGATTCTATTACTGAGAACGTTTACTGTACAAATTTTAGGTGAAAATGATTAGTATGGCCACTGCCCTTGATTTACTGCAAATTCGCAAATAGTGATGAAGGAATGGTTGTGGATCCAGTGTAAACTTATGCTGAGAACAAGTAATCTGAAATGTGAGCAAATCTTAATGCCTACTTAAAAGTCTATTGAAAGAGTTTGTCATCAGCTAGTAAAGAAGGCTGGTGAACTCCTATCTCAGTGGTTGAAAAAAGCGTGCGGTGAACGTATATGTTACTCTATGCAATCTCAAGGGAATAAATTTATTTTGCTCCTATTTGTCAAATAAGGCATACATTGCTCACAGATTTCATTGAGATTTCGGAGGTTACCCCTAAAGATTATCCCCTCGAGGAGAATGAACAGAATGCTGAGAGAACAGTGGAATAGATCGAAAACAGATGACATCTCCATTTCTACTTGGGATCACTTCTATTTTGACACTTTTGGCAGAGTGTAATTAATAATCCCAAAGACTAAGTGCGACGCTGCATAGACCTATCGACACATTGGGTCCTCAGAAGAAAAAGCTAGCCAGTATTACTAAAATCGTCATCTGGGGAGACGAACACCCCTTCATCATAGGAAACGCATTCTGAATGCAATGGTTCCTGTGTAGGAAGGATAACTGCGAATCAGCTGAGTAACAAGTGGGACATATATACCGACTTCTGTCCCATCACCTGTTAATCAAAAAGCACCAGGAATGTGCCAACATTGTAACCAACGTAAGCACAAACATACATTTTGGGTGACTGAAACTAGACTGTGGCATTATGTAGTAAACAAACAGTACAAATGAATTGTGAAAATCAGTTAGTTCTTTGGTCACTGAAGACCTTAGTGGTACGTCCGGTTTTACCGAATATTTTTATCGTAATCCACTGATTGTAGCTCTAACTGCAATAAATCTAATGCTTATTTGTTGAAACTGTGCTAATATGAATACTTCTTTTGTATTCAGTGTTCGGTGTGATGAGCATAGCTCATGTGGCTGTGAAATTTGCAGAGGACACACGAGAAAAGCGAAACGATGTCCTTTTGTACCTGAAGTCAATCTTGGAAATGGCTTTTTTCGCTCTGCAAACATTGTTCATATTACGCTATCACCGGGTAAGTGAGGAAGGATTTTGTTTGCACTCTTCTGGTAATCCTATCACACGATAATTTATCATCTCTGAAAAAAACTCAAGCAACTATATTGGTCCAAACACACAGTGTTCGCGTAAACCAAGACAATGATCAAAACCCTAAATGACGCACATACGATGCAAACTCACTGGTGCAATAGCCAGAAGATCACCATCTGTGTGTACAAAAGCGAATAAGTCAAAATGAATTTCACGCAAACGGCGAGAATTCGGCCTTTATTTGTCGAGTTTTGGAAGAACACTGAGTTGCGTGTTAACTCCCTGGTCCATAACTCAGACACTGGTTGATCTAGAGATAAAATAACCAAGAAGTGGGGCAAAATCCCACCTACTCCTTCAAACAAAAAACAGGCCACAATTCAGGCATAAAAATTTTGCCATACAAAGAATTACACATTCAAAATTTTTAGTGCTTGGAATGAGGAATGCAGAATTGAAAGTTTCCGGGTTGGCTGTCTTTAAGTCAATCAATGTTTGGGCTGCAACCTGAGAAAGGATTGAATATGAGTTAAAATTAAGGCCAGTTCTTTGCATCTTCACTGTTTTGTACCACCACTTTCATTTATAAATTTATAAACAGTTTATATAGTGGAATATACTGATCGCCACTACTATTCTGTTTCAGCTTGTCATACTTCGTCACAATGAAGTCATGGGAGCAGGTCTTGTGCATTTATTGACAACAAATTTGTGCATGTGGGCTGACATTTCTGTTGGAAAAATTGACAAGACTCTGAGCGTCGGGGGACACAAAATCGGACCGCTAGCCTTCGTAGAATCGAACGGGGCAGCTAACCTCGTCAACTTGTACAATCAAAGCCAGTACATGAAATCTCGGTCAGATGAAGAAGGTTTCTTCGGTGTCTCATTTTACCTCCTGCCCACTGTCAGTGAATACTGTCTTCTGGCGGCCGCTCTATTGTATGAAATTACAGTGCGTATAGGACAGCCGAGCTTCATAGAAATCGAAAAAGTAAAGGACGGAAAGCCAGTAAGTTTCCTATTTCTGAGGGGTGATGCGCTCTGTGCAACTCACACACGCACCCACTTCCTCTGAAAGACGAAGACAATCTTTTAAGTAATTGATTTAGCGAACCATTTCAAAGCGATATGTTTTATCTAATGCAATGTTTAATCATTATTCAGGAGAGGCGTTTTAATGTAATTGAGGGAAATTGTCTCTCGGCAAGCAAAAAAATAAGGGTAAAGTGGGGATCTTTTTCGTGCAACTGCACAACAAACAAACATTTGGAACTAAGTTTCTGCCCAGAAGATAGGCTCATTTGCACACATTTGTTTTTAATGACAGGGTAAGGTAAATCCAACTGAATATCCCTATTATGCTATTCTTATCCATTTTTATATGTTGCACCAAGTCACTTCGTCTTTCACTTTGTACAGTATTGGAGATATGGCGATACATAATCCAGATTTAAAACTGGTGGTTGGGTTGGTGGGAATTTTTCGACAGCTCAAGACTGATTTCGCCGTTCTTGGCGTTCATCAGGTTGATACAGTGCACATATTGCTGTCAATCGTACGTTCTACTTGAGCAGAAATTTGACAGCAACCGCCGAATAATCTCACTCACACACGGATTGGTTTCTTTTTGGGAGGGGGGAGACCAAACCCCTAAAAATTTCTTCTATGGAGTTCTTTCAGAACCATTATTTAATGTGTGGCGTCCAGAAAACTCCCGTTTCCTTTAATAAAGTTGGAACATCCGGCACTTTAAACCGGTACCTACGTGGTGATGTGCACACAACAGGGAACGTCCGTAGCATCTGAAGTTGCCCGATAGTTGTTACTATAAATCTTATAGGTGTCCTGAATTCCAGTTGATTGAAATAACTTAGGGTACAAGGACAATGCATGGGTAGCTCAGATGGAGGAATAAGCTACGCGACGAGTGAAAAGAGTGAGAGCCAATCAGACCCTGTTAAGTGAAGATGCTCCTAGCGGAGTTTATCCCTCTCATATCATGAAGACTGAACAAAGTCGTTGTAAGAACAGTCTCGATAATTCGTCGGCTACAGGAACGTAGAGACTGTCTATTTGCAGGTCTTTACAAAATCTCAAAAGAAATCGGCCACCCTCTGATCAACACGGTAGCAAAATTCAAATTAACCGATAGACAGTTATATTCACACTACACTGGCAAATTTCAAGGAAAGAAAAGCTTTCAGCTAAACTATTTCAACTACTCTCCGTGTGAGGTAATTAATCGGCGCTCGTTTGATCGGAACCAAAAACCAGGTAATTTATATCATCAACACCTGAATACTTCAGGTTAGTTATCATTTTCCGATGTAAGTCAAGAAAATGCAAAAAAATCATTGATGAAATTCACATATATGCAAACTACTATTACGTTGATAAGATGCTGAATTGGTTCTTACAAAACCTCTTGTTCCATCCTCTGAATTTGCCGCTCAAACGCATGTTTAGGGAATTAAGTATATTTTATCTCCGCTAATAATAATTTAATCCGAAGATAAATATATATTTTGCTAGCAATATACAATTTTGGTGGTTGTGTGAAAACTAATGTTAGAGGAATCCGAGGGAATATGTCCAGTGGGAGAAATCCAAGAAGAGTAATGTTAAGGATTCTTATGATCTGTTGTTGAAACAGCCTGCAGACTTGTGTAAGTAGATTTTGGGTGAAATGATCTGCAAGGGTCGTTGGACGAATATGGGTGGTTTTGTACATAGAAATGTTTCTGTCGTTATCAGAGGCCAAAACCACAAAACTAACACTAAATCATCCGGCGCTAACGATGGATCATATCTAGTTTGCCCGGATTACTGAGTGCCTATGAATGATTCACTAGTCCTACAACTAATTGAATATCGCACATGCAATGTCACCAGGCTCTATTTCCATCTGGCTACAAATCAGCAACTCGTTTTTATTGTTTTATTTGACTCCAAGGACAGTGTTGCAGCCTAGCTTGGTGTACCCTAGCAATAGGTTACACAAAGTAGCATGCAGCGGTTGGTCGGTAATGGCTTGGGCAGCTGCAGTCTGAAGACTAGCAGCCTTGGAATTATATTAGAACAGGAGGATAGCAAACCTTAGCTTGTCCATGCATAAAGGTAATTAAAAAACCCCATCAGCTTGCCCCATCCACTCGAATGAATGAGGGTCGTTCTAACAATGCTTTTCATTTGCCGAAAGAGGAGGAGTGGTAACTAGGTGATAGAGCGCACAATGAGGCGTTTCCTCACCATGTGGCCGTATTCTCAGTAACCGATTCACATTGATAATCACCAGTTTGCTTCAAAGTTTACTTCAAGAAGAATAATGAGGATGTGGCTTCAAACAGGTGCACTTTAGGATATATTGTAACTGGAGTGCTCCCATATTCGTCATCAACGTGCCACAACAAACTCAGTTGCTTCTATTCTCGCAGCAGAGTTCCAGAAAAGTCCATCTTTCTTTCAGGCATGATGTCTGTGGGCCAGCTGAAGGCGTAGCTATTCATTACTGGTATTAGTCATCAAATTTGGGACGGAATCCAATCGATCATCAAGCAATCATTATCCGTATATGACCGGATAATCAGATGCCATATTCATCTTTATGGTATATCTTGATAAGATACAGGAATAAATCGGTAGTTCTCAAGTCGGGAAGTCTATTATGTTGAAACAAACTAACTGATTCGTGTACTGTCACGTTGTAGGTGAGCAACTTTTTTCGAACAAATTCATAAAAGTCTCAGGAATATCTTGATCTAGCTTGTGACATCTGCGTTCCCAAGGCAGCCGCATTAACCGTGACCACCAGAACATTTTGCCGATTGCTGCTACCGCTTGTCTTCAGTTGACAGTGTGGCTCCGATTGTTAAAACCTGCAACGATAAATATGGAGAGCCTCATAACTCAATGAATTCTGTGCGTTCAAAACGTGTATAGCAGGCGATTTATCTATCACTTCTGCCATGGAAATGACAACGAGCCATACCACATTTGTGATTTGTGCAGTGTCCCGTTACCCATGTGAAGTGTCACCCCATCACACAAGGTGAATCCGGTAGACGTATGTTCACCACAGCTTTAATTTATCATATGGGATTCGAAAATTTATAATGGCTTAAAGGTGAAGCCAGTGATGGGATAGCCCTTGCAGCCGAGACTATTCCCGTATCCTTGTTGCGAAGTTTGTAAATCTTCGGTTATGTAATCGAACATCAATTTATCAGCCAAGGTTTTTTCCAATTTTATCAAATGGCATTGTAGAAAATTTGCTAAGTGGCGTCTAGTGACATTATAATGGAGCTTAAATTACTGCTGGAAAATCGTTTGACGGGGCCGCGCTACTGGATCCAATAACTGGCGGGTGGGACACTGGAAAATGGAGTTAACGTTGGCACTCGACCTGAATACTTTTATGGAGTAAAGGTTGATTTCGTTTCCCTGTAGCTCTCACCACTTAACCATCCAGGGCTAGACATCAGCCTTGTAGATTTTAAGGCTTCGTAAAACTCTAGCAGAACTTGCATTCTCCAAAAAAATAAATTTGAATAAATGAGACTTGGAGGTGTTTTCACATAATTCAGCCATACGTACAAGAAAAATTGAAGTATCAGTTAACAAACCTTTCTAGCTCCTTGCAGACATTGTTCAGGAAATTAAATCAAGTGTTGCAGGTGTAGATCTGCAAAACTTCAGTGTCCTCAACAGCTACCCGTGTTGTATGCGGCTACACAGTCCATTTGGCCTTACCCCAGTTTTTCTGGAAGGTTTCTGCTGGCTGATCATTTAGAGAATACTCGCTGTGAATATTGAAATTCAACCTAACTCATCAAATCTCTCATATCAACTTGTAGCTTTTCAGAAAAAAATTACGCTGGCTCTTTGTCTAGGACTTCTTGTCAAATCCTAACTAGCTGTTAAGCGAACACAATATCAATACTTAACGGTTTGGAGGAACGAAAGGGAAGACTGGAAAATTTTTTTCGGATAAATAAATCGTACAGCTGTAGCCGTTCAGGCATGTAGGGGGCCTTCGGTGCCTAGCTCCCATGTCACCCGAAGGAAGCACGATGCCTTGCATACTGCCAAGTCTCTCAAGCCTAGACAAAGTCGAGTGGCAGTGATTGGGTTTGAACCACGCACTTTCTGGTCAGCAAATTAGCGCTCCAACCACTTGAGACATTTCGCCTTGGTAGTTCACAAACATTAGGAGTATACGCTTTGCATAATGACCTACTAAGCCTCGGTTTTCTTCTCAGACTGCTCGCCTTCGATTTGTAAGTCGGTTTTCTGAGTCCTGAAGTAAGTGGATAACTTTAAGGACGGTAGATTTTTGTGACATATTCTACAAAGCTGGCGAGGTCCAGTAGAAGATTTCCGTCAATTATCGTAGCCTATAAAGTATGCCGAGCTAGACACAACCCGTCAGCATCAAATTTATTTATACTAGTTGATGCCGTGGATGAAACCGATGTAAACCAGGTGATAAAGACCTTAAGACATGCATGCAGTGGTGCAAAAGTTGCAACATATGGAGTTGGATTGTAGATCACGAAATCAGTGCTACTCTTGGGTAATACCTTAATTTGAAAACTCCTATCCCCTATATCTGCAAATGATGTTTATAGAAACGGTGGAGAAAACGGTGGTGAAAACCTTCTTAAATGTTGGAACACTACAGGAAGGTGTATGTAAGTGGATGTTATGCAGAAGAAAGCAAAAGACCTGAGTATGTTTGTGCGCATCGAATTTGTGAGTAAGCTTATGGTAGATTAATTTTGACGATACATCTGTCGCACGTTTGGTTTACTCGTTATGCACTCGAACACTTCAGTCGTATTTGTTGAACGAGATTTTACATATACTTAATATCCTCGATGGATTAGCGAATGACTCCTGAAAATAACGCCGCAAACCAAATCAACCGCTGGGATTTTGTGGTTATGCTTCATTGAACTCGACGGATAAAAGATATGCACTGATTACAGCTGCATAAATTTTTAACACTAGCACCGGAGCAGACGTTTTGCTCCGTGGGGTGATCAAAGACCCACGCAAACAAAATCAACTGTTTAGACGTAATAAGCTACTCATGGGGTTGCTGAAAGCTCTTCAACAGCCCATGACTGGCTTCACCCTTCTTGTGGCTCATCACGGAGTTCTACTAGAACCCAAATTGGCAAATATCGAAAAATACGCTCAGTTCAGCTTCAGGTGAGGCTGCCACCAAAACCCACATTGATATAAAAAATGGTTTATTCTTCGAAGATTAATTGTTATTCACTTAACATGGGCACCTTTCAAGATTCACTTTTTTAAGTTGCATTTAGTCCTGTTGTATACAGTTGCCGGTATCAGAATAAACTGTCATGCAAATAACTCTCTGCTTCGAAGCCAGAACCAATAACATCTGGGACAGTTTTCATTCCATGCGGGGTCTTACCGTTGACGGAGACGTTACTGCAATAAGCCGTTCAGTTTTCGTAATCCTGTAGCACCGCTTAGGTCAGTAGATACGGAATCCGGAGAACAAAGTAAAATAGAACTAAATTTTTGCCTCATGGGGAAGGCCCAGTGGAGTGATTTGTGGCTGGAGAGAAATTTTGCACTTATGGTCTCCAGCCAATTTTACAGCTGGTCCATCGGAGAGCACTATCATTATCATGATGGAAAAATTATGATTAGCGTAAGCTCCAGATGGCTGAATCGTTAGTGCGCTAACTGGAAGTCTGCAGTGCCCATGGTTCGAAAGCAACCCTGGTACGCCTACTGCTTCTGTCTAGACTTGTCTCAGATCTCCTAATTCTTCCTGGTAGAACACAGATAGACATCGAAAGGGGCTACTACTTTACGGTTTTTTTTATTTCATAGAGTTGGGATGTACAATCAAGGTGTTATGCAAAAAGGCTGGTAGCACCCGAAACAACCCTAACCGAATTGTAACCGTATGGACTGCATTTATTTTAGTTTAGGAGCCAGAAGTGGAAATGCTGAGGACGAATTGCGAGAGTCATTGCATTCTATGAATTCGAAAAGTGTCAAGGTTCTAGCGGCGGGTGTTTTTAAATCAAGGGTCTAGGTTAGCATGAGTTCTATCCAACTTACTGAAGGTTTGCCTGAACAAGAGAATCTCCTTTTCGAAAAGAATCTATTTCGCACATGATTTCAATTATTTTACTAACTTACCTATCACAATCTGATCGAATGTACTAGTAACCGTATCAGGAAGCACACGCATTGCTGTGGTTAAAGGGCCTGGTGCTGATTTTGTTAACACTTTAGCGTTACATCAAATTTTGGCAATGAGCGTCTTCTCTTAAATCATGCACTACCAAGAGGGTTTTGTAGCTGCTATGCAGGTACTGACAAACACCACCAGTACCATAACAACAGTACACTAACGAGAGTATAATGACAGAATAAACTGCTGTTTAACCGGTGTTTGAAAAAATAGTCCCCTAAAATCAGAAAAATAATTTTCAGGCCAACGCTCGTTAAGAACGCTGGAATTTGAACGCAGGTTTACCAAATAGATTTGGTGGCATTTTCGTGGGCTTACAGTCGGGCCAAACACTGAAGCTGACAGTATTACCTGGAGATTTGCAGGTGTATGGAGCGCCACAGAGTTTGTATCAGTTAACTTGGTCGATGATCTTGGTGACGGTAAATAGTTAAAATGTAGTTTGACTTTGCCCAATAAGGCTTTACATCATTCGGCTCTGACAGAATTTGCTGGATTGAAATTTATCCGCATCAAAATATTCTGAAGGTTCCTCTCCATAAGTTAGCAGTATCCAACCAAATGAGTAGGTTGAGCTGAAATCCTCATTGGTTTTTATAAGAGCTCGGAATATCAGTGCTGGTTTCGTACAGCCGGCTTACCCAATTCAAATCCCTTCAAAAGGGGTTTACTTTCTATGCTGTTTGGCTGTTGATTTGGTAGCCATGCTTATTCAGCCCAACCAACGCTGATAGTAAATATAGATTTTATTGCATATTGGAGCTAATACACAATACGGGTAAACTTAATGACTGCAAGCTGACTAAGCATCATTAAAAGCGTGGTGTTACCAAGAGGATGACAGGCCTTTCCTCGTGCGGTAGTAGACAGGGTTGTCGGTGCAATATTACCACAATTTTTCCCATTACTAAAGGCTAGGCTCAGTTTAGATGTCGAAATTCTACTTTCTGGTCCCTTAGCTTCACCAGGGAAGTCTTATGAGATAGCCTGTCCTGAAACTGTAGAGAGTATGGTACATAGTTTTGATTCACAATTCTGTTGGGAACAGGTATCATATTTTAAACGACAGTGGACCTTTGACTTTTGGCAGCTATTTCTATCTCACTATGGAAGGTGGTGGCGTTCAGTGCAACCGCATTTAACAACCTGTAACATATAGGTGAAAGGTAGCACTGTGGCTGCGGTAAAAGTGAAGAGACCGGATACATTATGTCAGGGCACTTAGTGGGATTTTAGCGAGGTACCTTACGAAATGATACTCTACTTATCACATACAACCGTTATCCCTTTTAAAGTGTCACCGTTGGCTTGTTGCGCATATTTGAGTGGGTTTCAGTTAGGGTTGACCGCAGAAACGCTTTGGTAACAACGCCCGATCACCAGGAAATTTTGATGTGTTCAGTAGAAAAACAGTACAAGTAAATTTATCACTAGAGTTTATATAGTGCTGTTAGACCTTTGAATATCACAACCAAGATGGGATTTTTACATATTACGATTTGACACAACAGGTGTGAGAAATCTGCATTATGAAGCTTTAAATTAAGGGGCCATTCAATGAGTTGAAATTTTAAAAGAAAAACAAAAGTTGTTTCATTTAGAACAGAAGCTAGACAATATAGAACGGAAATCAATCTGATTTGGACATTGGAATAAGCCTGGATCTTAATGCATCTCGCTTTAATTGCAGCACAAGAATAAATTTCACGAATGCCGTGGATGCATAACAAGCGCCGGGTCTTGGTTCAGTATTCTAACGGTCACCGTGGTTGTGGCCTTGACGATCGGCACACTGGCAACGCCGAAACCACCGTATACACATCAAAATTACTGGAAATCCATAACAATTCTTGCTGAGGAGGCAACGCTGTGTGCTTTTGGTTTGGGGTTTGTAGTGACAGCAATTTACCAAACTCGCAAACTGAAATTCAGCATTGCAACTCGACAAAGCCATGTGGAAGAATTCCTATTGTACACAGCTTTTTTCTTCAGCTCGAACTACACAATATCAACCATTATTCTTGCCATGGATTTGAAAGAACGGGGTGAGAGTTTGGTAAGTAAATTAATTACTGTGGTCTATTATGGCAGCAAACATACCTTTTTTATCAGGTCAATAAGAAAAAAGGAAGTATCTTAAGGAATATTTGATGGACATAAATTTCTATGTCTAGTGTTGTGACTGTAGACTTTTCTGGCAACTTATTGCCCTATTCCAGCTAGGAAAGAACTTTTTGATGGCTGCAAGTTGAGGGATACATTTTCTGGGAATGCGCTTGTGATATATTTAAATATTTATTTTGGAATTCAGACATGGGATCACTTTTTTGTAATTCGAAATAATTGATATTTGCATGTAAGGATGGGTTCAATCAATTTTTGTAAACCTATTCCGAGTGGTTTCTTCAATGGAAGCATGATATTTGTATCTACTTTTTTGTTTCTGCAGTACAAAAATGTGTGAGTTTTTCAGGTACATAGGTTTTCCCATTAGTCACGCCCGCTTTACCTGAATGAGCTATCGTCGCTGAGCTTTTGGAGGTATGGAAGCTTTTTCATTCTCGAAATTTGCCCAAATTGGAGATACAATACAATGAAATGGATGGAAATTATGGTTGAGCATTGTTACAAACTTGTTATCGGTAAATCCTTACTGTCGTCTCATATTATGAATTGCTCTGATAAATAAGGTCATGATGAAAATGAACTGCTGCAATCACCAAATGAAGACATTTGATGATTACATTTTCCCAGACCAGATTATTCGATTAAACATCCAGATTCCCATTTTGTACCTCACTATAAATAAGTACTTTTAATATGCAAGCTGAGTGTGTTGTGGACACTACCAATAAGCTAATAAGCTTATGAGCCTTCTCATTCATATCCTAACAGTACTTCTCAAAATTTGTCATTATCTGGCGTCAAACACAGTGGCATATAAGGCAACTTGTCGTATACAATTGATGTCAAGGCAAGGGACTCCCCTCACCTGGGTTGTGTGAGCTGTTAGCTACGGCGATCATCAAGATGTTCTTCCTAGGGCCACTGTAGGAGGCAGTGTCTCATGTGTATCGCCAGCTGTCACTTTGGCCCACTGGAGATGACCACCGTATGCTTGGGATACTGTGCCTCTTTTGTAATGCAAATACAAGAAATACGTAGGAGGCAGTGTCTCATGTATATCGCCAGCTGTCACTTTGGCCCACTGCAGATGACCACCGTACGCTTGGGATACTGGGCCTCTTTTGTAATGCAAATACAAGAAATATAGCAATAATACGGGTTTATACCAACTGGTATCCACTGACGGAAAAGATAGATCAGCTGCAGCGAATTCGTAAATTGAACTAGAATACAATGCAACGGACCCGACCATCAGGTATTTTCGAATACATTTGCAAAGTTGCACAGCTTTGGTAATCTCTTGATAAATGTGGAAGAGAGTAAAATTTTATACACAACAGTGAACGTCGTCCAATTAAATCTGCTAGAAGACAAATCTTATCTGAACTAGGCAGATATAGCAGACGTAACGTGATTTCTTCTGAAAGCTCATCAACCTCATAACGACGAGCTACTTTAGGTTTTTGTAAGCTGCTTGTTGGATTTGTAGGTTGCTTCGTTTTAAGACACGGTGTACGCTTTTGCACACCCATGTATTCATGTGTACAATATTCCCAAAGAAACATGCGCCAAATGCAATCCAGCAACATACAAGTAATTGACTGGATGTAAAGATCCTGATGAGTCCGAAGGAAGGACGAAAGCGGTCGGGGGCCGTCGAAGAGTTTTCAGCAACCTTATGAGTAATGCATTATGCCTATACAGTTCTCATTATTGACTTCGCAGATGAGTCAGCGTAAATATTTCTCAGTGCGTCCAAACTTTTAAGTTTTATTGCCAACCACTGGAGAAATCAACCCCCGAATTATTTCACCGTAGGCAAGGTGAAGCGTTTATGTTTGGCACATATCAACCTAATAAATGGAATTTGATCATTTGGTTCTCATATTTTTTTATCAGGCGGACAGCTGCATTCCCGATATACTTATTAACTGAGCTGGTTTGGGAATAATATCGAGGGTTTTCATCGTTGCAACTTACAATTTTATCTTGTGCGCCTTCGTTTGGTTAGAAAGTTGCAGATGATTCAGGCGACGTGAAACAAGGCAGGCTGTAGTTATACGGTATTCCAAAAAATCCTCTTTTTCTAACGCACATAGTCTACCAGTAACATATATATGTATGTGTATAGATATATAGTAATTAGGGAAAAAGTTGAATGTGTGAACAGGACCTAAAAGGGTTGACACATGAGGTGTGGTTTCGTTCTTACTGAGCTGCACGATAATCAGCCTAAGGTACTGCCACAACAACAATAGGAGAATTGTTTTGCCTCCTATAAAACGGATTATCAGAAATGCACTAAAACTGAACCCAACCTAGCGTCCTGAAACAAACTTCAGAGAACATAAAGAACACTAGCAGAAACGGTGACATTTTTCATTTTGGCCAGCATCGAAACGTTGACACGGTGTGCGATGTACAATAGACAAAACACAATCCAGACGTCTGTATCGTTTCCCTTGTCATCGGTTGACCGAATCGTTCCGAGTGAATTGATTTATGTCCGTTTAAAAAAACGTGTTGGTTTTTGTTGAGATAGTAACCTTGACTCCATTTTCCAGCAGTGTAATAACAAAAATGGTTGGAGAGACGAACCATAGCCTAAGCTTTAAGTGTTTTTGACTTCTGTATGATTTATTTGATTTCAACGTTTTTCTGTTGTATATTCTAGTTATGCTTTACAAAAATGTGAATTCCACCCAACCAGAAAAAGTTTGACTTTTAAATTGATGCGGGTTAGCTGCTCATTATGACTTAATATCTAACAATTATAAGACGTTCTAGTTATCTTCGTTTTATGACTTCATTCATCTGCAAATTTAACTGCCGCACCCTGTGGGGCTGAGGCTCGTGCTTGCATTCCAGGCAGGTTGCGGGTCACTTTGCTTCTTAAGAACTGGACGCAAGACCGTATGAACTAACATTTTCTTCCACTGCGATCCATGAAACATACGACACTCTATCCAACGGGCTACCCCAACCAGTGTGACGTTGCCAACCATTATTTGGGTTGATAGTAAGGGTTTACACCCATATTTTCCTTCTCAACAAACAAACAGCACAATGACCCACAACAGCAAACATGAAAATTAACGTAGGTTTGATTCCGCACATAGAGACAGTGGGTATCCATACTGACTGAAGTGGCGCTGCAAAAAATGATAATGAAACTGTATTGCTTTCGTCAACACTAAGGTTTTAATCAAGGAGACTATTATTACCATATTTATAGCAGCAGTAATGCTCCTTTCTGCAGTTTCCAGATTTGTACGTGTCAAATACCCACATATTTCGAGTATTCGGTGGTTGATCATGACCACTACCGAATTATCAAATACTGTCGAAGAACAAATGAACCATGTTGCTGGTGCAACTGTAATAGTATATTTTGTGTATGGCAACATCGAGTCAGCTAATATAGTGTTAATCTCTGTGGTCTTGTGCCAAACTGTGATCTTGCAGTCGTGTCCGAACATTGAGTCACTGGTTGCGGGAAGGCCTTCCAAATAAAGCCAGGTAACCTCTCGTGAAGTCTGCGAGGGCGCGTCAGAGGCTAGGACGAGGGCTCACAAAGGGAGTTCTGCAATTTCGAATTTCTTTCACATATTTCAGTCACATATTTCAGTCAGAGGTTTAGCATGTGGCAACTAAAACTGTAACAATTGCACTAAGGTCTACATGGAACCAACTGCCAGGGAATTGCATAAAAGGAGCATAAAAGGAAAATAGACAAACCACCAAGGAATGCGGAAAAATATCAAACGCTTGTCAAAGATCTAGCGCTGGCATCTTAAAACAGAGACATAGAATAGATCTGCAGACTGCGATTCACACCACAGCGGCTGATGGCTGAGGTGATGCAAATTACCAAGCGTTACTGTTTGAACAGATTCCAGGGTGGGAAAATGGCGAGCGTATGAAAAGTAGTCGAAGGTAAGCCGAGTTGACACTTGACTGTGTGGTTTTAATTGTACGTAGAATCGTTAGCAAAACAGGGGGGGTGGAAATCCCAACCTGACCAAAGTTCAGAGAATCCTTCTTCCTTATACAAATATCGTAGCACTAGTTCATCCACACAGACGGACGGAAAGTGCAACGACTTTGAAGAGTGATCGTAAATCGAATCAGAAGAACTAGACCCTAGGCTGGACCCAAATACGTGTAGGTTTCCCCATCGGCTTAACACTTGGTCACCCACACTAACACACAAATCCCCTCTGCCGACAGCGGAGGCTTAGATGTCTATTTCTCGTTCCGCCTTAAATCTTGACCAGCCTCGTAACATAGTCACTCGGGCTGACGAAGCTTTTGTGTCAAAAGCGAAACGATGCCCAGCAATAAATCTACTGGCTGTTGCCGAACGCTTCGTTAAAACAAACCCTCTGTTTTCGGCCTTGCATCTTATCATCCGCCTGAACTTCCAGACACAATCCCAAAGGAAGCTGTCCTGATTCATTTAGCTGTCAATCACCCAGCCTGCGTTCCCCATCTAAACTTTATTCCGGTAAACTAAGCCAAAAGTGTTATATCCTCATTTATTTCAAAGCATCTATTCCGCATCATGAATTTCAGTGTCCACACAGTGTCTATGAAGTGGAAATTGCGCTTACTTCCAGGGACGAATGAGTTCTATTGGGCTTGCTTTCGGTAACTAGTTTTCGCTTTATTCGATTGACTGGTTCAACTGAGATTAGTGCGCCCGGATGCAATTAACAATGTTCATTTGCTGTGTATGTATGTGCTATGCAAGGCGGCAGTTCCGAGGCGGATAGTAACATCCTTCGATACTTGTCACGGTTTCTGTTTTCGGCGATGAGTAAAGCTACTGTAATTGTAGGTGACATTTTTACCCGGACAGGTTAAATAAATCTATTGAGAGCCTATTTTGGCGACCCATTAGGGGGTAAGGCAGAAGAACTACAACTATGCCAAAATCATTTGGTTTCATTTAGTGCACGCCCAGGCGATGGAAATAAAACAGCTTAAGGAACAGGACGGAGCGCTCCTGGATGGTGAACATCCAGTGAACACAGTAAGTTTTGCGGTAGAGGACATGTACACTCTACCGTGGTTAACCTAAAAAACTGGCCGTAAGATAGAAGTTGTTAGCCTGTTGTTGTCAGTAACAACTCAGACTCTAATTCATTCAAACGAAGGTTCTCTTACCAAATGAGCTGAACACGGTGAAGGACAGTTCCACACATCCATCAGCCCAAATTCTGAAAATGAAAACGCATGAACGTAAATGTACCGTCAAGTCAACCCCGCTATCCGTAACAGAGGTGCAGTTTGAACTCTAATTGCTTCAACGCGAAAAAGTACGTGGTCCAGACGGTTTTCATCCTTAATTCTTTAGAAAAGCCGGTGAATTTCCTGTGGACAACTTGACCACTTTGCCCCAGGGGAATGAAGAAATAATACTAAAAAATTAGTTTTCTTCGAAAGTGTATTCAAGAACGATGAAGCGGCACCCGAACCCCAGAATCAATCTCAGTCTTTTAATCACATCTCTGACGGAACCCCTTCGTGTGATTATCAGCTTTGCAACTAGGAACTTAGCTGCCTGCAAAACCCCGCTGTTCAACATAATCTCAGAGGTTTTCCTCACAGTGGCTCGGTATATCCCGACGCTTTTGCTGGTGTTTGATCAGGACTCTAAAAATCCAAACTATTCTAACAGTACTCGTGATTCCTTTGCACACTTTTGTATAAAACTCACGTACAAAATGCAAGACACTACAGGCAGTGTGGGTGAGATCAATTCCAATTCTAATACCGATCCATCTGACAGATAGGCTAGTATGTCTGAGCAACAGAATAGGTCCCGATGAAGTGCCAAGAGTTGAAAGAACCTTCAGAATCCTAAAGACAATGACAACCTCATATTCATATGACCGACTTTACATCACTTTATTCGTTAAGTATCAGATCAGTAATGCTGAGGTGCGTCATATAGTTTCAGGAAAGTGTCACTCCCATTGGGTGAAGCAGTTGATTACACTCCCTATTTTATAGTTGTTAGGCCAAGGCCGCAGGATGTCAGATGATCGCACTGATTGGAAGACAGAATAGGCCCGATGAAGTGCCAAGAGTTGAAAGAACCTTCAGAATCCTAAAGACAATGACAACCTCATATTCATATGACCGACTTTACATCACTTTGTTCGTTAAGTATCAGATCAGTAATGCTGAGGTGCGTCATATAGTTTCAGGAAAGTGTCACTCCCATTGGGTGAAGCAGTTGATTACACTCCCTATTTTATAGTTGTTATGCCAAGACCGCAGGATGTCAGATGATCGCACTCATTGGAAGAGTCATCGTTGAGCTCAGTCTTAAATAATTATTTAATGACCCGGCACAATCCCAACGATGCACAAGTGTTTACCCTAGAAGCCACCTGATGTGGATCACAGGGTAACACACGGTTTTATTTAGCCGACTCCTTCCAGCTACATCCACAGCACGATAATAAATACAGACCGTTTCAGCCCTAGAAGCCACCTGATGTGGAGCACGGAGTAACACACGGTTTTATTGAGCCGACTTCTTCCAGCTACATTAACAGCACGATAATAAATACAGACCGTTTCACTAAATCCCTCGAGAAGTTTTCATCAAACATGTGAGTATTTTTGCTCGAAAAATATACTGCGATGCCTCGAATATCCTACCAAATGAAATGCGTGGTGGTCTTCGTGCAACACAATCGGGCGGAGAATATCCTAAACGCACGTTCAAGGTGAGATTAACTCGAAACCCCTATTAGAAACGAACTAGCATTCAAATAGCTGCTCTTGGCGAAGATTACCCGACAGTCTTGGCAAATGTGTATTTCTCCCGTCGTATTGGTCCAGTCAAAGAATAATGCTAAGGGATCCTAAATGACTAACTTAAGCTATAATTCTAGCGGGAAGAGAAAGATGATATAATTGCGTCCAAATTATATTTTACCAGAAAGTGTACAGTGATAATCAAATACTGGTATTCACAATTGCGTAACTTGCATGTTCATGCAGGTATTAGAGCGCACTTGTGACCGTTTACTCAGTCTGTGAGCTGGCATTGAGCATTATTTTTTCATACTAGAAATTTTATTGAATGGTTTTCAAAGATTGCTCAAGTTGGCGACTCACAAACTACTGAGAACAAGAGATTGTTGAATGAAACAGATATTTTCCGTTTTATTAGGTTTCTTACTGGCAGTCTGTGCCGTCAGCTTCCCACGTTTGATTTCCTTAGCTTGTATGTTTCATGAGTTTCGGCCCTTTCGGTATTCAGACAAGACGTTTGACATCAGTTGTTAAATTTAACACTGACAACCATATCTGATTAATCTTGAGAGCGGTTGCGTGCGTACCGTTGTCAACCATTAGCCGCGAGTCCGTTCAACTATTTCAGTAACACCGGAACTAAGCATTGACACGCACGATTTCTGGACCTAAATGCGACGTATCAATGACCGTACCAACACTAGCTTTCACGGCATTGTAACGGTATGAATATTGCTCTTACCACAAGGCAAGCAACTTCACAATCCCCATCGATCACCGCTAATTCAGGCAGCTACACTTCATGATGTCCTGCACGGAAGTGGGCTTTCTGATAGACATGACTTCCTCTTGCATGAACATTAATCTTATGCTTCCTTTAGGGCTTATCGCGAAATCGTGAAGTAAAGAAATCGGTCCATTTCAGCTGCCGCAGGGATGTTGTCGTGGGTCTCCTCGGCGCTCACCACTTTAGCATAAATCAACCAGGGTGCCGGTGAAGGGCGTCTTGCGCATGCCACAAATTAGTGCGTGCTGGACTTCCGGGAGAGGGGAGCTGTACATATCATATGACACACGGATACAAAGAAACAAAAATAATGTTATAGATACCCTACAGTTGCTCGTCAAGACTCAATGAGGTATGTTGATCACCAAAAAATGCAATGTATCGCGAGTGACTTAGTTGACCCTTAGACTCCTCTGGTTAATAAAAACAATTTCTAGCAACGAACTGTGAATTCATTATTACCTTCAAAATATTTATTAGGATTGTGAACCTAGTTCAAGTTTACTTTGTGTTCAGTGAGGCAAATAAGCTTAAACTTTGACACAACGCTTAATTCCCAACTACTTTAATCTCATTTCACTTGACATCACGCAGATTCTCGCTTTGAAAACTGATGTGATCTCCTCTAGTTTATCAATTCCTCACCCTCACAGTGAGCTGTATTTCCTTTTTGGAAAAAGTGTCCAGACCATCTTTTAGAACACTATGTGATTCTGAGTAGTTGGACTAGAAAAGGATGATAAATGCATCTATGTTGCCTGTGGGAATGAAGTTGTAGCATAAAGCGTTGCTGTTTGATGTGAATGAGATTCGCATACGTGCCACAAATGATAAGTACTCTCGACATTCTAGGCAAAATTTTTTTTGGATTAGAGCATCAGTATTTATTCCGTTGGATTATGGGCGTCTGAACAGTTGGTAAATCACAATGCATGATATGGTGGTGTTCTTTAATCAACCACAATTTAAATATACTCCTTATTTTTTATCGAATTCCTCAAAAACTATAGTGCAATAACATGCAAACAGGCTCATTAGCGCAGAAGATCTGGGAAGTACTACTCATCAGAAGCTGGTGGTACAAGTAAGGAAACGGAGCAAATTGTCTGATGTAATCAACAGTCACTTGATTATGGGAGGATGCACCCTACCTACTGAATGAAGCTATTCTCTGGACTTAAGCTAGAGATTTGTGGTAACCAAAATATTAAGGCACTGACATTTATGCGTAAAATATAGTGATTCCTTTCACGATGCTGTCCACTGCAACTCCACGTCTGCCTGTCCCTAGGTCACAGAAAATCCTCAAATGTATCTACTGTTGTCCTGTAATCATCGAAAAATGGCATCCCTTCATTGCAGATTCAAAGACTCCAAAGAGGCTTGGGAATTTGGACTGAATGTGACTATGAAAAATAAAATCCGTAAACGATTTTGTAAGATGATTTCATGAGTGACCGTTTTGACACATATACCGTTTTGACACAAATTACTGATCACTATCCATCTAGAGATCAGTAAATGGGATCTCACTATTAAAGTTGCACTCTCATAATTCCGCTGGAAGTGAATCCTATTAGTCAGTCATTTGCTCAAAGATCAAGATTTTCTGGTGCTGGTTTGTGGGTGAATGTTGTTCTTTCAAAACGTTTGCAGGGAGTGGTGTAGAGGCGTGCCTCTGCCATGCTACTTCCTAGAAACTACCTCACTACAGGAAAAATTTGGTGGTCGACTATGCTACCCATAAACCTCCTTGTATTTGCTTGTTCTCTTAATATCACAATGACATCGGCAACAAAAACCCCTTAAGCAGTCAGATTTTAGCCTTGGCATGTGACGGCTGAGTATTTTAACATTAGGTGATAAATAACAGAAACAATTGCAGAAGTTGTAGGGGAGATGTCTCAGAATTTTTAACATGCATATGTGAACATTATCTAGGGAAATTCTCCCGCATTGCCTTCAACCAGACTGCGTCAAACGTATACGCTATAAACTTAACATTCAGCGTTCTTTTCTTTACTATAAATGTAGTTCTTTAACATGACCGAGCCGGCTTTTGAGTGTCCTCACACGTGTTGAGTAACACTTGTCCTTTTGTAGTCGGTTATAATCATTACCAATTATTGCGTGTTTTTGGCGACACTGTGTGGCATTACGATTGGGATCAAGCTGACAAATGCTTGACTGGAAAAGTTTCCCATGAAGTTGACTTCTGGCTGAGTGAAAGCTCAATGGTACATGTGAACGGTGGCGCATTCGAATACTGTTTCAAAAGGATCGTTTTTAATCACCTCAGGTATAAATTTAGAGCTACGGAAAAATTTCTACGCCATTTACCCACTCATTCTAGAGCGACAGGCGGAACAAGTGATAGATTTCGCAGTATCACTGGTGCGTTTACCATTGGGAAATTTTGAACAGAGTTTTGCTATTGTTTGAATCATAAGGGAAAACTTTGTAAGTAGTGAAAC